CCTTTGGAGACCAGGCTGGCGTCGAACTCACAGAGATCTGCCTGCCTCTGCCTCCCGAGTGCTGGTATTAAAGCCGTGCGCCATCACCGCCCGGCGAGCTTTCCCACTTTCAACCCCCATGATTTTTGAGACAGGATCTCACCATGCAAACCTGGCTAGCCTGGAACTTGTTATGTAGACCAGGCTGGTCTTAAACTCAGATCTGACTGCCTCTGCCTCCTAAATTCTGGAATTAAAGGTGTGTTCCACCTTTTTTGCTGGAGAAATGTTTTTCTTAACCCCAGGTATATAGTACATAAAATAGATATACAAATAAAATATTACTGATAGTAAACCATAAAGAATTTTATTTTAAATAATTTTTGATATGCATATAATTTTACCATTTATTAAAACAAAAGTAAACTTGTATGCTAATGATATGGATATGTTTGTTTATTTTACATAAAATATTTTTAGAATTATTTATTCTTTGACAATTTCATACATGTATATAGTGCATCTTGAACATACTTTCCTCCAATTAATTCCTCCCAAACACCTCCCAACACACATCCGCCTCCCAGCTTCAGGGTCCCCCCTTTTCTGTAACCCACCAAGTGCTGCCTGCTCGAATGTTGACTGCTTTTGTTGGCTTGACCGTGGCGGGGAACGGCAGCTTCAAGTGTGAGCTCCTGAGTGCAATGCCCCCGTCACATTCAGAAGACAGCATTTCATAGCACCCTCCCACACTCCCGCTTTTCGGTTCTTCCAGACTTCTTCCATGTTGTTCCCCGAGCACTGGGGAGGGTGCTATCGATGTCCAGTTTAGGGCTGAAGCTTCGGACACTCTTTCCCAGCACTTTGACTAGCTGTCAGTCTCCGGCCTGCCGCCCACTGCAGACAGACTTCTCTGGCCAATGCTGAGAGCAACACTGACCTGTGGATATGAGCACAAGTACTTAGAAGGTAATTTGGCGACACATCCGGTTAGCAAAGCGGCGGGAGTGGGCTCTCCTGGGGCTGTGACTGCCAAGCTGTGTGTAGGCCTTTGAGCAGTTGTTGCTGTTTAATGATCAATGTCAGCACCATCTGGTCAATACGATAACATTAAGCAATATATTCACAAAGCCTTGAAATCATAGTTTAGCCAGTTTGTAACGAAGTGGTTTATATGTGTTTGTCTTTATGCCCAGCTTTCTAGAATACTCACTGTGTGGTTTACTAAAATTATTGGATTTTTAACGATGCCCGTAGTTTCCAACAATGCCATTGTGTTGTCCAGGGCCCAAAACCTTGCTGGATCAGTGCCCAGTATTGTCAGGGAACACTTCAGATTCCAGTCCCAGCTGAAAGAGAATCATTCTCAAAGGTTGCTTTTGGGTTTGTTTTTAAAAGGCAAGAGAATACCAGTTGAAGGCGTATCTATGATCTGGAAACAAAAGCTCCCATTGGTAAAGGTTCTAAAGAGCCAGAGACTAAGAGCCTGTCCTTCTGGTGACCCACTGAATCCTGCCTCGTTGCTAATGGAGGCACAGGCAGATCCAGGTCCAGCCTCTTTGAAGTCATGCTTCCCAGCAGCCCCCAGCCTAATGTTTAATGGTAGATGTGGCACTTTGCTTTGCTATAGTGATGGCTGAATCGAATCCTTGGCCCCTCACCTGCCTTATACCCCAAACACTGAGAGTGACAGATAAGTGGAAGCCATCCAGCAGTGCTCCAAGGCCTGTCCCTCATAGTGCAGTATGCCAAGTTTCTCAGAGAATCCAAGAAAGCAACAAAGTAAAACAAGTCCCAGGTCCATGTCTTTGTGCCCTTCTCCTAGCAAGGCTGGACTCTGCTAGAGTGTTTTCTGTACTTTCTATCTCCTTATCCTTGCTTGTATTCTGCAGAATACAATGGCTGGAAGGAAGCCCCCTCTCTGTGAAGCAGCGGAATGACACAGTAATGCTGGGGAATGCAACCCAGGGCACCGTGCCTGCAAACCCACCATTACACCACAGTCAGCCCTTAGGAGTCAGCCTTCTAACCGAGCCCCCGCCCCCCAGGGGAAATGGGAAAAGTGTCCTCTCCCAACAGCTACTGATGGGGTGATGAGGGTGGGTGGATAGGTGGTGTGAGGGTGAGCAAGTGCTACCAGGGGTCAGACTTCTGCCCAGAGGCGACAATTCTAATGCGTCTCGGTGTCCTCTCCATCCATCTGCCCCTTCAGGTGCTCTCTCCAGAGACCCTGCTCTGCCGTCCCTGGTGCTGGGATCTGAACTCTCCTTAGAGCCCTAACTGCCATTGCCTTCCTGTCCGTCCGCTCCATGGAGTTAATAACGCTTCTAAAACTCCTTAGCTCCAGTAAGCCTCCAGCGAAACTCTTGAACCACCAGGCGGGGCACAGTCCAAAACCTAACAGTACTGACTGGTCCCCGAAAACTCACACGGGGACAGCTAAACTGTGGCAGGAAATAAGTCAATGACTTGTGCGTAGGGAGAGCGAACCAGCGTTTGTTTGTTCCCTAACCAATTAACAAAAAGTTTAAAGACCCTGCTGGAGGAACGCACTGCTGCTGCGGAGGGCAGGGGTTCGGTTCCCGCGTAGGGCGACTCACAACCGCCGGTACCTCGGGCTGCAGGGTCATCTGCCGCCTTTGGGCTCCGGGCACCTGCGCTCACGCGCACGAACCCGCACAGACACGTCGGTAAGAGACACAGAGAGGCCATTTACTCGGAGGGCGCATGACGTGCCGGAGGGGCCGAGCCCGGGGCCGCGGCGGCGGAAGGAAGCGCGGGCGCAGGCCAGGCTCGGCGGAGGGTGTGAGCCGGGGGGAGGAGCCTGCGCGGCCGGGCTGCGGGCGCAGCGGCCCAGCCATGTCCGCCGAGGAGGTGGTGCAGATCCGCCTGGAAGGCCGATGCTACCCGGTGAGCAAGAGCAAGCTGATCGAACAAAGCGACTACTTCCGCGCGCTCTACCGCTCCGGCATGCGCGAGGCCGTGCGGCCCGAGGCCGGCCCCGAGGTGCAGCAGCTGCGCGGCCTGAGCGCGCCGGGCCTGCGGCTGGTGCTGGACTTCATCAACGCGGGCGGCGCGCACGAGGGCTGGGGCCTGGGCGAGGACGAGCTGGCCGAGGCCAGCGTGCTGGACGAGCTGGTGGAGGCCGCGTCCTTCCTGCAGGTCACGGCGCTGCTGCGCCTGCTGCTGTCGCATGTGCGTCTGGGCAACTGCTTGGAGCTGTACCGCCTGGCTCAGGTGTACGGGCTGCCCGACCTGCAGGACGCCTGCCTGCGCTTCATGGCCCTGCGCTTCCACCAGGTGCTGTGCCAGCCGCAGTTCCCGCTGCTGCTGTCGCCGCCGCAGGCCCCCGGGGACTGTAGCCTGAAGCAGAGGCTGAGGGAGGCCCGCATGCGCGGGACCCCGGTCCTGGTGGCCCTGGGGGACTTCCTCGGGGGACCCCTGGCCCCGCACCCGTATCAGGGGGAACCCCCGTCCATGCTTAGGTACGAGGAGACCACGGAACGCTGGTTCCCGCTGGCCAACAACCTGCCCCCCGACCTGGTGAACGTCAGGGGCTACGGCTCAGCCATCTTGGACAACTACCTCTTCATCGTGGGCGGGTACAGGATCACTAGCCAGGAGATCTCGGCCGCGCACTCCTACAACCCCACCACCAACGAGTGGCTGCAGGTGGCCTCCATGAACCAGAAGCGGTAAGTGCCAGCCGGACCTGAGCCCTTCATTCATTGCCCTGGTGTTCGCTGGCCAGAGGCGGTGGCATCTCGCTGAGAGCTGCTGGCCTCGCCGCCGCTGGCGGAGTTCCCAGTGAGCCCAGGGCTTGCCAGGAAGAAGTCGGCTAGCCCAGTGGCCTCCTTACAGGTTCGGGCCTTGGGTAACTGGCTTCTCTGTCTCCGATGTGTGTTTGCAGAGGATATTGCAAAAGATAACTGCTGTTTTTCCCTTCTCTTCTTTCCTGGTCAGCTCTGAATTGTAATGCCGCCTGGGCAGTAACTGACACTGGCTTCGGGAACGTTTGTTGCTGCGTCCTTCTGCACTGGGGTACGAGTCCGCTATCCCTAGGGTGATAGCAATATGTGCTATATAGGGTTCCTCTTCTTTTCCCCTTTCATTCTCCCTCCTTTCGTTTATTTCCTCCCTAGACAGCAATCACCTTTGACCCAAAACTTGAGCCCGGAGTGGTCAACTACAGAATGGTCATGCCCTTGTCTCCGACCAGGGATGCCTGAGTCCCTAGCGGCTGTACCGTTGGCACGAAGCCTACCCACACCCTCCTGCATACATAAAGGTTTTCCTTTATCTTGGTGTGTTCCTCAGGCTGGTTTTGAACTCCTGGGCTGCCTGGGCTCCCGTGATCCTCCTGCCTTCAGAGTACTGGGATTAAAGGTATTAAAGGTAAAGCCACATCTGGCATACTAGTGGTTGTCAGACTGTCATTTAAGGAATGACTAGAAACCAGCCTGTACGTGTTCAGTATACACACGTTCCCCTCTTATTGTTTGAATCTATGAACCCGTGGATTCAAAGGGCCAGATGCATTCCTTTCCGCTCACTCATGTGTCCCTTCCTGCAGAGCCCTCTTCCCTTCACCTGAGGTGGCTGGGGAAGAAAAGGTGGAGCTGGGGGGAAGCAAATGAAAAAGAGAAAGGCATGGAGACAGCAGGCCCCCAGTGCCTCAGAAGTCGGGTCTCCTGTTGCAGGCCTGTCCCCCAGCTGCTCAGAAGGCTGAAGCAGGCAGGTTCCAAGTTAAAGGCCTTTCTAGGGTGCAGGTGAGTTCCAGGCCAGCCTGGATAATGCAGCAAAACAGGAAGAGAGGGGAGACGGACCTCAGTGTGAGAGGGCTTGCCTAGACCTCATGAGGCCTCCGTTCAATCACCAGCGTCCCAGAAGTGGAAAGAAGAGTAACCAGGAGAAGACAGGCACTCTCTGCCAGGCCGTCTGCTGCCATCCAAGTCCCACTATGGTCTCTGCCCTGAAATGAATCAGGCTAGAAGGAAGAAATCTGAACTGGAACTGCTCGGTCCATCACAGGACAAGGGACCCTTAGGTCAGAGGTTATTTGCAGAAACACACCTTGTTCTGATGGCTCAGAGGTTAAGAGCACTTGCTGCTCTTGCATAAGACTGGTGTTCAGTTCCCAGCACCCAGCTGGGTGCTGTAACTGCAACTCCAGGGCATCTGGAGCTAATAGGCACCCACATGCATGTGTATGTACACACACAAGCACGCAAATTAAAAAATAAATCCTAAAAGTTCTGGCAAGCTGGAGTGTAAGAGGTAGAGATGAGTGTGTCACTCCTCCTTCCAGAGGCCCTAACTAGGGAGGGGATGGTGGATTTTCGTCCAACCACCTGTGATATGATACTTAATATGATCATCAAGTAGCACCTGCCTGTAATTACAGGACTTAGGAGCCTGAGGCAGGAAGATCTGTAGTCTAGCCCGAGCTATAGAGACTCTTTCTGAAAACAAACAAAAACAAAATAATAAAGTTTAGTGTCAAAAGTGTTATTTTAAAATAATTTTTAAGAGCTTTAAAGTGCTCTGAGAGAGGGTGGAAGGGTCTGTCTCCTTCTTCCCTGTGTGTCTCCAGCACATCCACTGGGACTCAGTGTGGTGACCTTCGTTCGCTCCACAGTCCTGACCTCTCAACAGTCTCTGCCCGAGATCCTCAGTCTGTTTGCCTCAGAGTGTTCTTTCTGTGGACTTTGACTGAAACTGTGAAGTGAACGCATCTGCCTTAAACACTGTGCCAGGCCCCTGAAGCGGCTTCGGGAAGGGAGGGTTTGTCTTGGCGAGTGGTTGGAGAAAGCATGGGAGGCCTGAGGAAGCAGACAGGAAGCAGCAAGTGATGGATGTCAGCATGCAGCTGGCTTTCTCCTAGCTGCTGGGAGAGTGCCACCTACTTCCAGGGTGGGTCTCCCTTCTCAGTTAATCTAGTCTAGAACATTCTTCACAGACTGCCCAGAGCTTGTCTCTGTAGTTCTAGATCCCGGTAAGCTGACAATATTAACAATCACCGCCTGTGTCTTGATTATTTCATTGTGGTGGCCGGCTGAGACAACAGGGGAAAGCAGGTGTGTGGGGAGGGGGTATTATTTGGGGTCAAGAGTGATGGCCAAGAACATACCCCTCAGAGACACACTCTCAGGGACCTGCTTCCTCCAAGGAGGCCCTACCTGCTAGTTTCCACCACAGTCCAGTCACGGTGTTACCTGATTTCACTCATGGGCTAATGCACTGATGAGGTCAGAGCCCTCCTGACTCAGCCCTTGCTAAATCTACTTGTGAACAATGCAAGGGGACCAACCCTCCCACACGTGAAGGCACCCAAGCCACAACAGTATCTGTACATGCATGTTATAGTTAGGTATTATAAATGCACGATGCGTATATAAATATAGGCATGGCCAGCCATTATCATTCGGGAGCTATGTGTGTATGTTCCAGAGTGAGTGGGATATGTGTCCGTATATTTTTACTCTAAACTTATTAGGGTACTTAATGCTTCTTCTAATCAACGGTTGTTGTATATGAATTTTTGTAACAATTATCTAAATTAATAACAACTCGGGAGTCAGATATGGGGTTAAAACCTGATTGATCAGAGAAGCAACTCGTGACCTCTCTCCCCTTCCTTGATCCAAACTGGCTGTGAGTCTTTCTAACCCCTCCCTACTACTTCCTGTGTCTCTCCATGTGTCCTCGGTCCTCCAAAACCTCTATGGCTGATTCTGGTCAGCTACTAGTTAGCTCTGCCCTCCGATTCAAGGTAAACTTTATTGTCAGTCTCAGGAGTGGCAGAGTGTGATCAAAATATCCCACAACAATTTTTGTGTGTGTGTGTGTTAACAGATGTATATCTATTGATACATTTTTGGGGTTGGTTTTCTTTGTTGTTTTATTAATTTTTTGGGACGGGGTCTCATGTATCCCAGTGATCCTTGAACTCTCTGTATATCTGAGGATGACCTTGCACTTCTTAGTCTCCTGCCTCCACCTCATGAGTGTTGGGATTCGAGGCATACACCAGCACATTGGGTTGTTGTTTGAGTGTGATTCAACACTGGAGTCTGAAGTGGAAGGGTGAGTGATGTCAGGGAGTAGAAGAATGGGGACCCAGAGTCAATGTGTCACCCTTGGGCCTCCTCACCCAGGACCACACTGCTTATTCCCTAGTGAAGTGAAAAGTCAGGGTGGCCAGACATGAGGTAACCCAGTTTTTAAATGTTGGCAGTTTATTCTGTCTTGAAAATAAGGAAATCACCAACCGTAGAAACCTGGCGTATCAGACGGACGCAGCCCAGTGCTGGCCCTGCAAGCCCAGCCTCGACTCTGGGTGTGAGCGGCCTCTGTAAGAAGCAGTTTCCTCTTCTCAGCTTGATTTGCCATGTGTGACTATTTTTATATCCTGTACGTGGACGCTTTCTCCAGATGAGAACGTGGGCATACTCACCGGTACCACGCTCTGTCATATAATTTTGCCCTTTTGTGTTTACATGTGAATCTCTGAGATTTCTTTTCAAGGTATTGTGTGAAGTTATAGGCTTGAAGATGACCGTATTGGCCAGTGAGATGGATCTTGGTTGGTTAAGCTGGCAAGCCTGATGAGTGGACCCACACAGTACAAGGAGAGGACTGACTCCTGCAAGCTGTCCCTTGACCTTCCCTCGTGTGCTGTGGCCTGTGCACATGTTCACACACACACAAATGTAACTTTTAAAGAGAAAATGACTGTACAAATCCCAGCAATTTTTTTTTTTTTGGAAGCCTCTTTCAGTTGTACACCAGTTCATTGTCTGAACACAGACTTGACTCTTGACATGTGAAAGCTTGTATGACCACAAAATCGCCTTCCTCCCCTCCCACCTTAATTAGGGACAGCTTGCAGGGACTGGCCACTGACTGCAGCCGTCCTTTGGAAATGTCTAAATTTCTAAGATGTTTCTAGCGCCTTCCTCAGCCCTGGGTTCTTCTCCAAAGGCAGAGCTGGGTGGGTCCTGTGTGTGTGTGAACACAGCAAGGCCTCACCAACAGCTGTTTGCTGGCAGAGGAGCCTGACTGGGGAGCCCTTGAGAGGTTTTGTCCTTGGGTGTGGAGCCCACACAGCTGGGCACCAGAGAAGGAGAGAAAATACAGGCCTGTTAACCTCCACAGCTGAGTTCTGGCCAACAGTTGAAATTGCTTTTTGATTTTTGCTTTCTGAGTTTCCCACAGGTGGTCGGAGCCACAATAAGCTTCTGTTTCCCAACTTCTCCCATCTCCATCCTGGTCCCCAGCAGAGGTCACTACAGCCGAGGAAGGGGAAGGAGTGACGAGGGACTGGATGGGCCCCTCACACTGTCCAGGCCAGGGAGGAGTGTAGCATTTCACAGTGACAGAATTGTCTATAGCAAGCCATAATGCTGTTCTTGTTTCGGGAACTGTCTCTCTGGGTCAAGTGTTTCTGGGTCACTTTGTCATCGGCCCAGCAGCTCTGTGAGGTTGGTTTTATTATTGACCCCGTTTCCCCGTTGAATTTAGTTTGTTTCCACACAATCACAGGGCTAGACTCCACTCTCGGTTATCACCCTCCTCCTTGTGGTTTCTGTGGCTGTTAGTAGGTGGCCAGGTGTTTTGCGAAGTTCTTTTCATTTGGTCTTAAGTGTGTGTGAGAGTCAGGGTCTCGCTGTATTGCTCAGCTTGGCCTCTCACTGTGTAGCCCAGGCTGGCTTTGAACTCTTAAGATCATCCTGTCTCAGCCCTTTTGGAGTCACGGCCCTCCCCCCACCCTCCGCCCCAGCCTCTGCTTTGGGAATTGAACCCAGGGCCTCAGGCACACTAAGCCATGTTCTATCATCATCGGGCTATGGCTGCAGCCCTAGAGGGCTTTTTATCTCTTCTCAGTGAAATGGAAATTAAATTGCGGCCATGTCTAATTTTCCTCACTTGCTTTTTATTTATTTATTGCAAGTGAATCATATACAACTACACAATGAAGGCTTATTTGGTATCACAATCATCTTTCTTCCTGAACATAGCGCGTCAGGGATCAATACGAAGGAAGAAAAGGTAATTGTGAAGTAATCGATGGCTCAGATGCACAGTCACGCTCCGGAGGTGATGAGTGTGAGCTGCTTTCAGAAGTTGGAAATGAGGTGTCAGGGATTTGTAGACGGGAACACAAACTGCAGAATTCTGTGCGGTAATAGGAAACCAGCCCTCCTGCAGCTAAGGAACTGGGGCTGAGGGCTGGAGAGAGGGCGCAGAGGGCTGGAGAGAGGGCGCAGTGTGAGAGGCTGCTGCTGAGCCCGCCAACCCAAGTCCACCCCTGGATGCTTGCGGCTGAAGGAGAGAACAGACTCCTGCAAGCTTCCCTCCGACCTCCATGTGTGCACTGTGGCATGCACACCCCCACACGCATGAAGATGCACATACACACACACACACACACACAGAGACACAATAAAGAAACACAACAAAGTTTAAAAACAACGAGGAGCCGGAGAGATGGTTTGGAGGTTAAAGGCACACACTGCTGTCCAGAGGACCTGGCTCAGTTCTTAGCTCCAGCACCCACTTTGGGTGGCTCACAGTCACCGTGGGTACCTGCATTCATCTGCACTCATGTACATACTCCTCATAGTAAAAGTAAAAGTAAAAAAAATCTTAAAAAAAAACAGCCCAAGATTTAAGACATGAGGAACATCACCCTCTCCACCCCACACAGAGCAGACTGTGTACTTGGCTCTACTTCAGAGATGCGGTAACTGGGGCACAGATCTGCTAAGCTTCAGTCAGTGTCCCAGGTCGCACAGCCGTTCTGCAGCGGAGTTTAGATTTCCCTGTGCAAGCCTGGAGTTGGAGCCCTCAGTGATTTGCCTCTAAATTTAGCAACTGGTTTGTTTTCAGGTGGCTGGCCCATCTGCAAGCAAACCCAACATTAATAAACTTTTCTCTTGACGAGAGCTTGCACGTACGGGGTTTGGAGGGATGGAGGTGTTTACTTAGCTGCCTGTCTGATCGTCTCAGAAAAAGACCTCTTACCTGTTTGCCTAAGACAGATGAGCATGCAGGATGAATTGCACCCGGTGTTTGGATGTTACAGTTTTACTATCTGTGTACCCGTGGGAAGTGAAACCAGCCTGAGCTGGTCAGGATTTAGTGCTGGTTTACAAACGTTATTTCCTCTGGTTCACCAGATCCGCACACACAGAGGGCGTCATGGTCAGGTGTTAAGGACCATCGGCAGAGGGGAAAGTAAGCAACACGAATCGGGGACCCCCCAGTTGCTGCCACCAGGGCGACTCTGCGCGGCTGGCTGGGTTTAATGGCTCTGAGGCTCTGCATGAAGAATGCTGGGTTCACCCTCTCTTTTGGAAAACAAATGAAAACAGTCCCTGTGCATCCAGACTTCCTCCACACTCTTCCTGGCCTATGCTCCACCTTGCTGCGTCTAACTCCCTCTTCCCGGCACACGGCCTCCCTCTTGCTTTGCCTTCGTAGCTTCTGCCCCCATCTTCCCTCGACTGTCGTCGTTCTTTCTGGGGTGATCATTGATGGAGCTGGACACAAGGGCCATGCCCAGGACCCTCACTTCACACAGCAGAAAGCCTCGAGGTTGTGCCGAGACGATCCCCTGCATGTGTGTTTAGCCACTGGGTGAGATTCCCCCACGTTAGAGAGGAGGACCCGAAATGCACGGGCTGCCCAGTGTTTGTGTTGGAACTCACTGCTGGCTTGTGAATGTCTGTTGTGTGTCTCTGCAGAGGTGGGGACTCCCTGAGGACAAACTTTGTCTTGCTTAGCCAGTGTTTGAAGCAGATGGCAACACGTTTGTCCAGATATGTGTGTTACCGTCTATAAATACTCTAAAGTACTGGACCAGAGGATTTTAATTAGTTCAGCTTAGACCTCCCCATTTATGTATAGCAGCCGAGTATATGAACTGCCTTCTGGTGAGAGGGTGAGTCCCTGCTGATGGCTAATGGGTCTCCTTGGCCACTCATTAATTAATGCCTGTGTTGTACCCGGATGGAATCTCCTCTCTGAGGAAAAATGAACTAGCAGTTCTGTGAGGAGAAAGCCTAGGGGTGAGTCTGTGCACTCTCTCTCTTTTAGAGACTTATAAGTATATTTAAATGTATGTCTGTGATTGTAGGCCATGTGTGTGCCAGTGCCTGAGGAGGCTGGAAGAAGGCGTCAGATCCCTCAGAGTTGGAGTTACTGGAGGTTGTGAGCTGCCATGTGGGTGCTGGGAACGGAACCTGGGTCCTCTGCAAGAGCAGCCAGTGCTCTCTCCACTGAGCCCTCCCTCCATCCGGTACTTTCTCTCCTGCTTGCCCCCTGGAACATCATCTCTTAGCATCTGTGGGTAGTGATCTTCCCTGTCCCGTCCCTGCTCCCTTCCCCTCTCCCCCACCTTCAGGCTGGTCTTAGGTATTTCTTCTCTGGCTGGTGATGCTGCTTGGTGAAGTCGTGGAATGTTTAGAATGTGGGTCTCAAGGGGAAGATGGTCACAAAGGGTGGGACTTGAAGGCCACACCTAGCTGCTGCCTGGTTTCTCTCCTCTCTCTCCTCCGGCTCCACCGTGGAGTGACCGCCTCAGGCCCCTGCTAACTGTGAACTGTTCTCCACTCTCCCTGCCATGACAGGATTCTGAAACCCTGAGGAACTGTGAGCCAAAAACCTGTGAGTTCTTTCTGTGGTGTGTGGGTGCCACAGTGATGTGAAGCCGTGAATGTGGCTGGGGATTGGTTCCAGGTCCACATGTAAGATGGTGTGGACTGCACAGCACTCAGACATCCTCCTGCCCTTGAATTTATCTCTGGACTTCATGCACCGTCTCTTAGGTAGTTGTTCTGCTGGATAATCTAAGGGGGAGATGTCTGTATGTGTCCAGTACAGATGCAATATTGTTGTTCACACACTTGGGTCTGCAGCTGCTGGATCCGGGCGACATCTTCAGATGAGGAAAACTGAGTTCAGTGTGTAGCAGGTGGCCTCAGGCCCACGAGCAAGATCGGTCCTGATCCTAGTAGCTGCTTGTTTGCAGTTGCTCACGCCTGTGGATTTCCCATTTCTGCTCAGCAGATCACGGAGCCTTGGGTACCAGGGTAACCTCCGAGACGCGGCCTCTGCAGTCCTTAGGCAGAATGGCTCCACCTCTCCCCACATCTTGACCAGAACTGACCTTGTGGGCTTGTGTCTTTTTTTCAGCTCTAACTTCAAACTCGTGGCTGTCAGTTCAAAGCTCTACGCTATCGGTGGGCAGGCTGTGTCCAACGTGGAGTGCTATAGTCCTGAGCAGGATGCATGGAATTTCGTGGCTCCCCTGCCAAACCCTCTGGCTGAGTTTTCTGCATGCGAGTGCAAGGGGAAGATTTACGTCATCGGTGGCTATACCACCCGAGGTGAGTGAGCGTCAGCTGCTTTTGTATAAGCTGCAGCGCCCTGGGCAGAGCAAGACTGCCCAGAAGAGGCTGGGTGTCTGAGTGTGATCTTATGCACTAAATGCTATCTACTCACTGTTCTTAAGGAAGTGAGTTCCGATGGAAGCTTCCTTACGTGAGTGAGACAGCAAAGGCCTTTGATGACCTTATGTGAACATGGACCTCACTCAGATGGAAGAGAAGAATTATGAAGGATCATGAATGTTCTTTGTGCTTCTAGAAACCCAGCCTTGTGGTTGGCACCTGGGACCTGGCCAGGCTGGAGGTTTGGGTCACAGCTTTCCTTGTGGGAGAGCATAAACTAAGTACCTTTGTCCCCTCAGAGTTGGGCCCACCCACCAGTGCCACACCAGAGCTGGGTCGAGCCTTTGCTTCACCAGATAGAGACCCTGAAGCCAGCCATGGGGCCTTCTTCCTACGGGGTGGAAGGATGTGAACACAGGAGAACTCTCTAGACCAGATGGTAGTGCCTGTGCGGCGTGTTCTCAGTCCTCGGGTGCTCTTCTCTCTGTGGTGGGCATTTTACAGGAGTAGCATGGAAATAAGACCGTCCCCAGGTTTAATGCTGCTGTGTGTAGTAGGGAGACCCCAGGCGGCAGGGCGCACGGGGCCGGCAGGGCGCACGGGGCGGCAGGGCGCACGGGGCGGCAGGGCGCACGGGGCGGCAGGGCGCACGGGGCGGCAGGGCGGAGCATCCCGGCTGTATGGGAGGGGAGAGCTGCTCCCCTCTCCCTTTGCCCTCCTTCGAGGCCGCTGCCAACAAGTGGTCTCTTGGTCACGGGGATTTACTTCTGTGCTGGGTGCGTCTGACGTGCAGGGCCCACAGCTGAAGGAGAGGAGCCACTGGACTTGTGGAGTGGCTGGTGTCGTGGTTGGGTCACGGAGTTGCTGGTGTGTTTCATGGTGTGATGAGACAGACAGAGCTTTCTAGCCCTGGCTGATGACTGCACGAAGGAGACTCTGGGCTGCGAGTATAGTATTCAAATAGGTGGCCCAGAACTAGGTGTGATGGTGCACCCCTGTAATCCTAGCACTGGGGAGGTGGAGGCAGAGGGATCAAGACTTTAAGGTGAATGTGGAGATAGTAGACCATATCTCTAGGGGAAGAGAAAGAAAGCTGTCAGCAGGGCTCTCCAGAGGCTCCATAGTCTCCCTCATCTGTTCAGCTCCTTGTCTGGTCTTCAGCATGCATCTCTGCCTGTCTTCATGTGGCTTCTCCTCTTGTGTCTCTGTCTCTCCTAAGGATGCAAGCAGGTTGGGTTTGTAGTCCAGAACCGTCTGTTTAATATCTTTACTTATATGGCTACAGACCTGTTTTCAAATAAGGTCTCACTGGTTGGTGCTGAGGTTGAGGAGGTGGACCTGCCTTTGGGGGTCCCCCTACCCCCCGCAGGTGACCTGTGTATTTGTGCATCTGAGAGGAGCAACAGAGGGATGAGTGTGCCCGAAGCCGTGGGCCACCTGCTTCCTCAGATGCTGCCACTTCCAGTGACCACCCTGAAGAGAGGAGGTTTATCAGCATTTTCTTTGTGGAGATGCAAGGAGATAATTGGCCTTTGCTAAGAGGTCTTTCACTCTGTACACTGGGGCTTAGGGTACAGCCATCAACTAATTTCACATGTTTAGACAGCCTAGCCTTGGCCACGCCTAGATGTCACATCTCCGTATCTGTTTTTCTAGTGAAATAACTAGCTAAGTTGTTTACCTACAGATGTTTCTCCTTTCTTTTAGGTGATGTGGTTTGTGTGTGTGTGTGTGTGTGTGTGTGTGTGTGTGTGTGTGTGTGTGTGTTCCGAGACAAGGTTTCTCTGTGTAGCTTTGGAGCCTGTCCTGGAACTCACTTTGTTAGACTAGGCTGGCCTTGAACTCACAGAGATCCGTCTGCCTCTGCCTCCCGAGTGCTGGGATTAAAGGCGTTAGCCATCACCGCCCATCATGGTTTGTGTTTTGAGGGAAGGTCTTACCCTGGAGCACTTGATGGTATAGAACTCTGTAGCCCAATCTTCCTGCCTGAGCCTTGGGTGCTGGATTCCATGAACGAGCCTCTAACTCCCCCAGATGGAGTGAGACAGACTGAGTCTTGGCTGAGGGGACACCCATGTGTCTCAGCTTCTCCTCCACACAGGAGCTTCAGGTCCTGCCTGTGGCACTGTTCTTCTGGTAGATTTCCTGGCTTTTCCATGACCTTGGCTGAGCAAACAGCCTGTAGATTTGACCTGGAAAACCCTTCTGGTGTGTTTTGAGCTTACAAGCCACCACTAGTGTGTCTTCCTCGCTTGGGCCACCCAGGATGAGGTCGGTCCTGGAGTCCCTGTGCCAGGGACCATGACGGGCGGTCAGGCAGCGAGGCTGGATGGTGTTTGTGTTCTAAGCCGAGAGGGCTGGACACTGTGCTCCTCTCTAGTCTGGCTTTTCCAGTACTTCCTGATGGTTCCCGTTTCCAACAGGTCTTCCTAATTGTTATGAAAAAGACAAAAACCAAAACAACCAAGATGAAATAGAAACCAGAACTTGAGTTGGAATCTCGTTAAAAGAGACTTAAAATTCAGTAAATAATGGTTCATGGCTTTGTTTGTTTGTTTTTGAGACAGCGTTTCTCTATTATGTAGCCCCTGCTGCCCTGGAACTGGCTATATAGTCCATGCTGGCCATGAACTCATAAAGATCCACCTGCCTCTGCTGGGATTAAAGGTGTGCACCACCACACCTGACCGGTTCATGACTTTTATAATAGATTTTGATTATTTTGGTTCTTGCCAGGCAGTAGCAGATGGAGGTGCGAGGTGTGGCACCCCATCTCTGTCACCTTATCACCTGGGAGGCTGAAGCAGGGGGATTGCTACAACTTGGAGGCCATCCTGGGCTACATAGTGAGTTCCAGGTCATCTGAGCACAGGCTAGGGAGTGAGACCTCTTCTCAAAAAACAAACAGCAAAAACAGCAGACAGAAATTCAGTCGGAAATCCTAGCAGCCCTAAAGGGCAGAGGAATCCATTTTAAATGTGAAGAGCAAAAGATTATCCCACCAAGTCAGACGCTTTGCAGTGGCCTGAGCCAGTGCTGAGTGGGGTGGAGCTTACAGAAGATCCAGGAAGAGCTGCAGGCTCTGGAATGAAGAGAAACTTCCTGGTGACCCAGGCAGGTGTCCTTGGTAGATTCACCAAGCCTCCTGTCTGCCTCCTAGAGTGACCTTTATTACCTAGTCTGTAAGGAGATACGTGCAGACCTGCGTGAGGACTAGGAAGGCAGTTTCCTAGGGGCAGAAAGTTCGTGCGCTCCGGGACCAGCATACACTAAGCACCTGGTTTCTCCGTGCCTGCTAGCTTGGAATTTGGAGCTTGTCTGTCGGTCTATGGCCCCCTCACCCTCTCTTTCTTTCTGAGACAAGGTCTTACTATGTAACCAAGGCTGGCCTCAAATTTGTAATCCTCCTGCCTCAGCCTCTGAGTGCTATGATTACAAATGTGCACCATTGCCAGGCCTGGCTGTGGAGCTCTTTTTATGTACCTGCGGGTGAGTTTGGGTGGAGGCTGGGAGGGGTCCGCTATTGCTCTAGGCAGGTCAGTTGCTATGGGCGGGCCCATTGCTGTGGAAGGGTCTGCTGCTGTGGGAGGGTCAGTCGCTGTTGTGGGGCCATTGCTATTGCTGTGGGCGGGTCTGTTGCTATGGGTGGGTCTGTTGCTAGGGGAGAGTCCATTGCTGTGATGGATCCAGGGCTGTGGGCGGGTCTGTTGCTATGGGTGGGTCTGTTGCTAGGGGAGAGTCCATTGCTGTGATGGATCCAGTGCTGTGGGCGGGTCTGTTGCTATGGGACTCACATTGATGTGAGTCTGTTGCTGTAGGAGGGTCCGTTGCTGTGGGCGGTTCTGCTGTTGTGGGCGGGTCCGTTGCTGTGGGCGGTTCTGCTGTTGTGGGCGGGTCCGTTGCTGTGGGCGGGTCCGTTGCTGTGGGCGGGTCCGTTGGCTCCCAACCTGAGCTGTTTTCTCCAGTGATAGTTTTTGTTGTTTAATAATAGCAAACAGGGACTTCACTTTTTTTTGGATTGCTAATATTTTCCTTTTCTTGCTGAAGCTAAGACCATTCATGCTTTCCTAGAGAATAAAATATTTTAAAAATCAGTTTAAAAAGAGAAAAGTGAAGCCCTGTATTTTGAATCTCACAGCATTGTTTTCTGTTTGTCTAATTTGCAGTGTTGGGGATATCACCAGGGTTGGGAACCTCATGCACACTAGCAAGCACTCTATGTTCTTAGCCTTGTTTTTCAGTTACTTCGAGGTGGAATCTCACTCAGTTGCCAAGGCTAACCTTGAACTCACTTTGTAGCACAGGCTAGCCTTGAACTTGAAATCTTCCTCAGCCTCCCAAGTAGCTGGTATGATGGCAATTTTTTTCTCTCAAAAAGAGAAAAACTATAATTTTCCTCAAAGAAATTAGCTATTAGTTAAAAACAATGACAGAGAAGGCTTTTGCCCTGGGTTTTAGCCACATGACCACGAGCAGGCAAAAGGTGGGGCCTTTGATGGGTCTCCCTTGCTACAGTGGGGAGGCTGATCTGTGAGTCTGCCGCTGTGGAGAGTGGGAGCTGAGACTTTTCTGTGTCTCCTGACAGGGAAACCTGCTTTGCTGGCTTTTAGAGTTTGTCAAGGACAGACCCGGATAGGGCCGGGCCTGCCTCCTGTGTAGTCAGGCATTCCGAGGCTGTCCCCGAGAGTCAGGCTGTTGGGCTGTATGCTGATTGTGTGGCTCAGCGGGTTGCCAGGAAGGGCAGCCTGCACAGGCCAGAGAGCAGGGCCTGTGAGGCATTCTAAGGGCTGTACAGCACTCTCTCCTGAGGCAGGCAGTACCATTTCACGGTGTTTATTCAGGACTGACCAGGTAGGACACCTGTCTGGGCCTCGTCTGGATGTCCTGGGGTGGACATACCATCTTTTTGCCAAGGAATATGTTTTACAATGTGGGCTTTCTATTTGTGTAAGGCAGCATAGGTCACTGGAGTTTGGATGGCCTGAGCTGCTCGTTAAAGCATAGAATTCACTACATGGTGTGAGGGCGTCCAGCTGTAGCCAGGGCTTGCTGGCTTCCCTCAGAGGATCTGTGGCCTGTCTCTGAGGCCTACAGCATCTCACTCTAGCCATCCATCTGAAACAGCATCCACAAGCTGTCTTTAAAGCAAAGCTGACCTTTCCAGGCTGCCTTCAAACTCATGGTCCTCCTGTCTCGGTTTTCCCGGGCTGGGATTATAGGCATGAGCCATCATGCCTGGCTCCTGTCTTTGTGGTTTTCAGGGCCTCCTAAGAAAGGGGTGCCTGGGAGGAAGGTAGTAGGGGAGAGTCCAGATGGATGAGCCCTTCCCCATCTGCTTGGAAAACCGTTCCCGGCCTTTCTGACTGAGCTTCACCTGCCCATGGCCACAGGGTAGGTGTGGAGGAAGATGCCTCCCCGCTGCCCGGGCAGCGCAAACCCTGCTGCTTGTCATCCAGCCTCTTTCTGTGTTTCAGATCGCAACATGAACATCCTGCAGTATTGCCCCTCTTCTGACCTCTGGACGCTGTTTGAGACCTGTGATGTCCATATCCGCAAGCAGCAGATGGTGTCTGTGGAGGAGACCATCTACATTGTGGGTGGCTGTCTCCATGAACTGGGTCCCAACCGCAGGAGCAGCCAGAGTGAGGACATGCTCACCGTGCAGTCCTATAACACGGTCACTCGGCAGTGGCTCTACCTGAAAGAGAACACGTCCAAATCGGGCCTGAACTTGACGTGTGCACTGCACAATGATGGCATCTACATCATGAGCAGGGACGTCACTCTGTCCACCAGCTTGGAGCACCGAGTGTTTCTCAAGTACAACATCTTTGCAGACAGCTGGGAAGCCTTCCGGCGGTTCCCGGCCTTCGGACATAACTTGTTGATTTCCTCTCTCTATCTACCCAATAAAGCAGAGACCTGAGTGATCCAACAGTATTTAAAAGAAAGATCTGGTTCAAGGAAAAAAAAAAAGGCAACTCTTTGAAATACTGATCCCTGAGGGGACAAAGTAGACTAACGTAGGTCACGTACGTAGGAGGCTCAGCTGTAAATAAGCTTTCTTGAGCTAATTACTTGAAAACTTGGGGGAAAGAAACCAACATTATTTCTTATAGGTTGTTTTTTACATCATGGGAACAAATGTCATGATAAGTATTCATCCAAACAGTCTTGGGCCAACAACTAAAACCCAACATTAAAAAGTAGACTGCTGGGGTCGCTCCTCCAGGAACAAGGTCAACGGCTGACCTGATAGTAGCCATGGTTTTGTTCTGTGTTTCCCCCACTGCAGGTGGAACCTAGGGCCTCACGCTAGACCCGTAAAGATTACTTTAAAATACTGTTTCTTCAGGTCACCTGAGATGACATTAGTAGGGGATGTTCGGTATTTCTGACAAGTGTTGGGAGCCACCTCCTCACTCCTCCTGCCTCCTGTCACCCTGTTTTTCTGGTCAACCATCTTATTGTATATTTGCTTTCAGGAACCCTAACAGGTGTGTCCAATCTTTTGACATTTAGACATTGCACTACCATTTATCAAGTTTATGCACAACTGAGTTACCTTAAAAAAAAAACAAACAAAAAAAAAAACTCTTATTAATGTTTTAAGTAAGGTCCTGATGTTGTGTTGGCTAGAGTTACAGCATCCTCAGGGGCCCACGAGCTATGACCACCATGCCTGATGCAATGGTAGAACCAGACAGAGAATCCACACAACCAACCGGTCTGTCCAAAAACTTGGATAAGCACCTTCTCAACCACTTGAGAATGCTGTGTGAACAGACTTGTCAACCCTTACGTTTGTGTGGCAAATGCAGGTCTACGTGGGTCACAGACCCTGCATTGTGAGGTCTTTGTTTTATAAGATTGCTATTAACATTTTATAAATTGTGTCTTAAATGAGGGAGTACCGCATAAGGAAACATGCCTTTATGAGTTATTTTTATTGAATGTATTGACTTAGATCTTGTTTCAAGATTTAAAATAAAAAACAAAACAACAAACTTTGCACATTTAGATGAGGACTCCTCCTAACTTAGTCTCAGATGTGTAGTTACGTTCTGCCTTTCAAAGGCGAGGGTAGCTGTAGCTCATTTATGCTGGAAAGCAGGGGTGAGGTTCTTTACGGATATGGAATGACCTCTGCTGGTGTGTCTGAACTGAGGGGAGGTGCTGGCCTCCTGGCTCTCATGCCAACAGCCGTGAACAGCTCTGGGGATTTCACCAAGTCTGTTCACAATGAAAAAAAGAACCTGCCAATCATGGGTCTGTGTTTCCTAAAAAATTCAAGGGCCCACTTAGAATGCACGAGAGGCCCCAGGTTTAATCTCCAGCACTTACAGCAACAAGGCCTCACTCATAGGAGTTTTGATTGGAGACCATTTGCTATAACCAGCTGCTATCTTGTAGTGGAGTTAGCTAAACGAGCCGGACTCCATCTCTGCCCCAGCATCAGACAGAGGCAGTGAGTGCCCTTTCAGTGACAGCCGCCTTGCTTAGTTAAGAAAGCTCCATAGCAAAACAAAAACTACAGGCAGATTCGTTCCTCACAAAGCTGCTCTCCCAGTGGCTGGTCATGGGGGGAATGAACTCCCCCCCAAGTAGGTCTTCAGTGTCATGAGGGAGTCACTTCAGGGTTTCTTTACAGCCATGCCTCCCAGAGAGCCTAGTTATAAAAATCTTATTTGCCCAACTATTTGAAAGTTCTGTGTTCGAGGCCAGCCTGGTCTATTTGGGACATGGTGACAGATCTCAGTGTCTTGTCACCAGATCTACCAGTAGCTGTCAATCAGTAGCCTGCTTATGCTATTGGAAGCTTGCAGGCTGTTGCCTTAGAGCCCAGGATAACCCCAAACTCGGGATTCTCAGCTCAGCTCCCCAGTGCTGGGATTGAAGGCCTCTTGCAACCATGGCTTCCTTCCTTTATTATTTTTAAATTGTTTCACTGGGTTATTTTCAAAAAACAAAAACTCTGAACTGAAATCTTCACCAAAAATGGTATTTAAATAGATTTGATCTATAATTAATTGAAGAATTGAATTTGGGGGAGTCTGTAGTTTCATTAGTGCACTTTAAAATCTAATTTATGTTTGCCACCGTGGCTCTTCACTTTCTCACCATATGCACCTCATATTCAGAGGAGATGGGCGATTATCTTGTGAGAAAATACATCTTAAAAGTACATTTGTGTGTCTGCCCGTCAACCAGTTCTCTTCCTAAGGGCCATCTTTGGATGTATTTCCTGACACCAGCAACTAGATTCTTGGACCAAATGGACTTGTACTACTATCATCCACAAACTCTTAGCAACTGGGCTTAGAATGTCGTTGTCCTTGTCCTGTCTGTGGATATGAGGATTTAGATGCACAGGCGACTCCCAACAGAATGTCGTTGCCCTTGCTGCCAGCTGTGCTTGGGGAAGGGAGGCATGTCGTAGGACTGGCTGGTTTCTGTGACATCTGTCTGCCTGTGCCCTCACCTGTGTGGGCACTTCTAGTTTGGCTGGTACCAGATGACAGTGTCCCTGGAACCCCTCCCTTCTTCAGGCAGCGCCGTGTGGGATGTTTTTATTTGTTTTCTTCCCATTCTTTATTGCCTTATCCACCCCCAGATGCCTCTGAGGGGTTCAGACTGTGTCAGGAAGTGTCGGGTGGGAGCTGCCTGCCAGAGCCTTTATTTCACAGGCTCGTGTCAGTGGAAGAGTCTGGAGTGAGGGTTGGTGGAAGGTGTTTGCTCCCTGACCTCAGCACTCCTTCAAGAGGCTTCTCACCTTGGTACCCTGGAAAGGTTCTGGGATGTGTGAGAATCCGTAGTTTCTGCATTCTGCACTAAGATGTAGCATCAGAGTCTGGAAGGCTGGGGTGCTGGCAGGAGACAAAAGGCTTAAGACTAAGCACGAAACCAAAGAGACTTTGACCCTGCTGTTTTCTGTTTTGTTTTGTTTCTAAAGCCAAGAACCCGAGCGACTCCAAATGCCTTAGGTTTTCATTCAAGCTGAGTGAGGGAGAGGTGCTGCATCTCTCTACCCAGAATGTAGAGGCAAACGTGTCCTTGTACTAATGTTTATAGTGCATTAGGGGTGTGGTCTTCAGATTTCCAGTGAAAGTTCAAGCCTGTTTGGCCAAAGACGTAAATAGGAGGTGCTCTGTTGTCTTTGTCAAAGGGTGTTTAGTGAGCATGCTTAGCACTCAATAACCTGACCTGAGGGTCTGCTGAAGGCTGCCGCTTGTTCTTGGACCACGAGTAGGGACTATGAGGTATGTGCCCCTCCCTCTCTGCCAGGGTTCAGTGATACCAGACATCCCTGCCAGCCTGTCAGAGTGGAATGGATACTAGTTCCCTCTCCTGCTTCAGAGACAGTGGCCACGAAGGGAGCCATGATCTCTGGAAGCAGTGAGCTGTGTCAACTCTGTTCCCCGGGTGACCAGAAACACCTGAGTGTCAGTGCAAGACAGTGCTGAGCCCGGAGACTGACCGAGCCTGGTCCCTGTGACAGACAGTGCACTCTCATGTCAACCAGAGTGCCATCAAAGATGCCCATTTTAGTCGGGCACACTGGGCTCGGTCTGGCCACCTCTTGCATCTTGGCCCAATCTTCCCAGTGCCTCATGATTTAGAATAATCCTGAGAGCTGGTTTGTCCATAAATCTGAACACCGCATCCAATGTTTCAGTTTTTTACTATATGCTTTTTGAAACATTAACTACTTTTTATAATCCTTGCACTTCATAGTTTGTGAAAACAAAAAAATGACGTGGAGTCTGTTTTATTTAGAATTCACTCAGCACTGTAGCCCCACAGATGGTTCTAATGAGGGAGAAGGGAGGCACTTGGGTAAGGGCTTGGCGTGAGCAAGCTCAGCGCTGGTCCGTTTGGGCCTGTGCCTTCAAAGCATTCCAGTGGGAGAACTCGGCAATGCTCCCTCAGACACTGCCCACTGATTGGTTGAGTCTGCCTTGCTGGTGACTACGCTCCATGTACATGTTTGCTTTCCACTTTCTCTTGTTAGTCTGAGAACACAACAGCTTGACACAGCCATGGTCACCCATTCCTACAGGAAGCTCATGAAATGTAAAAGAGGGTCCGTTCCGAAGAGCCTAGGGTGCTTCGTGTTTCCGTAGGTCTGGTTGGTGCTTCGCATAGTCTGTCACGGGCAAAGCAAAGGGAAATGCGATTTGCATTCTCCGTCACTTCAGAGTGGGCACTGCACTGCCCTCCAGCCTTCTCTTACCTAGTTGTCATTTTATGGAAAGAATAATCTTCAAGTTATGTTCTTTGTGACGGACACCTTCTTTGTTTGAAAGGTTGTATTGAGTCCATAGTTTGGAGTGTGGAATAAACACACACGTTAACATTGTCACATAACCACAACAATGATTGTGTCGGGCACCTGTGAGCCACAGAGCTGTATTCATTTTGTTTCTTTGGACTATGGAAGGAAACGTCTTCAAATAAAATAGTTCTCGGTCAGTTTTTGATGTGTGTGATGGATTCTGTTGTCATCTGTGTGTGTACCCAGGGCCGTGCCAGAGCTGGGAGGAGAGAGGAGTAGCAGGAGCCTGTGGAGCCCTGGATGGCATGCTAGGTCAGGGGAGTGAGCCCTGCAGGAGGGGGAGCTGCTGCCTGTTTCTGCTCTTTGGGGGGCCCACCACCCAGCTCCCAAATAAACCACACACTGAAGCTTATTCTTACCTATAACATCCAACCTTAGCTTGGCTTGTTTCTTGCCAGCTTTCCTTAACTTTAAATTATCCCATCTACCTTTTGCCTCTGGGCTTTTCCCGTTCTCTTACTTCTGTAAATCTTACTCTTACTCCGTGGCTAGCTGTGGATGTGGGTGGCTGGCCCCTGGGTCCTCCTCCTTCTCTGGTTACTTCTTTTTTCTCCCAGATTTCTCCTTCTACATATTCTCTCTGCCTGCCAGCCCTGCCTATTCTTTCTCCCTCCTGCCTCACTATTGATTGTTCGGCTTTTTATTAGACCACCAGGTGTTTTACACAGGCACAGTAACTCAGCTTCACAGAGTTACACAAATGCAACATAAACAAAAGCAACACACCTTAAAATAATTTTCTGCACAGAGAGCCACACTGGGCATTGGGGGAGCCAGAGGGGTGAGGGTTGTGCGACCAGGCCTGGCTTATCAGTAACTGTTTTTAGAAAACATTTATTTTATTTTTAATTATGTGTATATGTGGGGAGAGGTGCAGTGTGAGTGCTTGTGCCCACAGAAGCCAGAAGAGGGCACCAGATCCCCTGAAGCTGGAGTTACCGGTGGACTCCCTGAGGTGGGTGCTGGGAACAGGACTTGGGGGTCTCTGCAAAAGCAGCACATGCTCATAACCACTGAGCATCTTTCCACCTCTTTATTAGTAACCTCAGAGTGGTTCCATCAAGACACACGCTTCCAGCCCAGCTAGCACACATGAAGGCCTGGGACAGCCGGCCCTCACTTTGTATGTGATAGCCTGTGTGGCTGTGTTCCTGTGGCCTGCCAGAGCTGTTCTGAGCACTTCACATGGACTGCTGCACATTTTTTGCCATGGTTCCATAAGCAAGCAGATATACTTGCGCCTGCTTCACAAATAAACCGAGGCCCAGAGAAAGTGGGTTTCCCAACCCCCACTGCACACCTGGGAATCGACAGTATGAGAAGGCCGCCTGGGCCAGGCTTGCTGGAGAAGTCAGTGCTCTGAACTCCACCTGCAGCCAGCGGCCAGCAAAGGGCAGACACAGTGGCCTTCAGAACTATGGTGGCCAAGTTCTTGACTTTATCTGACCCTGAAGGGGCAAGAACAGTCATGGAAACACAGTAGGTCCACCCTTCTGAGGAAGCAAAGGAAGGCGTGAGATTTCCTCCCTCGAGGGCCTTGAGCCACATAGAGGCCATTGTTTCCACTACAGCAACACGCCCTAGGATGTGATCTGCCAAGAACATGGCTGTTTCAAGTTTCCCCAAAGCTGATGGAAAGTCTAGTACCATTAAGCTGTGTATGTGGGGGAGAGGTGCTGGGTGGGTGGGGGGACTCCTCAGCCTCAGCAGAAGTGTCCAGGCTTTCCCCATATCCCCAGTGGCCATGGCCACAGGAACAGGGCTGCCATGTGGGCACACACCACTCAGTCACAGCTACAGGACATGTCACTATAAATCAGAGCCATGGGTTCCTAGTCTGGGTGACTACTTTCCAGGAGGGGGAAATTTTTTATGTTTATATTTACCTATAACATAGACAAGAACAAATGTCTATTCATCCCAGACAGGGCCCCAAAGACACAGCAGAGAAACGACTCCACCTAGATTGGGTGAAGCAGTGAGTTTACTGGAGTTGATTACAGGATCCTGGGCGACTCCACGACAGCTGCACCGAACAGCCCCCGACTAAGCCTGAGGGGCGACTCACAAGAGCTGCTCAGCTTGCAGGCAGGCAGCTCTGCTGAGGAAGCTCCTCTCCCCTGTAACTGCTTACCGCCTTCTGCTCCTCGAGAGGAGCCTCCTGAATCTTGTGCTTTTCTTGTGAGTTTTGGGAAGATGAGATTAACTGATGGTTGAGAGTTCTTGGTGTAGAGGTAGGTTCTCAACTAGTGACATCTTCTCTTCCACCATTGTGTTCTGGATGTGTAGGACATGGTTAATGATTCATTCATTCACAGATTGCCAGAGCCTAGTGGCCATCTATGAGGAGCTGATATCCCTACGTCCCTGGGCCTGGGTGTCTGTGAGCCATACACAGCCTTTGGACGTAGTAACTGCTGCAGATGCTCCCCCCACCCACACACACACCGGGGAAGAAAGGTGGGCACGGCAAGTGTGCACTTCATATATGCATGTAAGAAGGCTAAGTGCACGTTCATGTTTTCCTGCACATGGAGCAGCTAGAGGCTGCTCGGAAACGGACTGTGGAGTGGCATCTGGTGACAAACCCTGTTATCGTCTACACCTTGTCCCAGCCTCATGGAACAACACAAAGTCAACACAAGAGGAGCAATCGTAGCTGTATGTTTCTCCCACCCCGCCTGGCCCTCCAGTCCTGCAGCCGCTTATAATCACTTAGGGGCTTCAATTAATTACCAACTGTGTGGCCTCTGGCAGGCTTCTTGTTAGCTAGCCTTTTCATCTTAAATTAACCCATTTCCGTTAATCTATGTATCGCCACGTGTTCCATGGCTTTACCTGCGTACCATTACATGTTGCTCCTTGGACGGCGGTTTGGCATCTCCTCTTCCTCTCCTCTCACTATCTCTCTTGGATTTTCCTGCCTGGCTCCATCCTGCCCTGCCATAGGCCAATGCAGCTTTTTTTTTATCAACCAATCAGAGCAACATATATTCACAGCATACAGAAAGGCATCCCACAGCAAGTTGTGTGTTTCCACTTTCCTGGAGAGAAGGGAGAAGAATGTCAGAGGACAGAGAGGCACCATGATGGCGCAACATACTGGCCAGGCTGCTCTCTGGTCAGGATTCCAGGGACTCATTCATCATCTACCTGTCTGTCTGTCTGTCTGTCTGTCTGCCTATCTATCTATCTATCTATCTATCTATCTATCTATCTATCTATCTATCTATCTGGAACGGAAGGCTGTAGGGGTTAGTCTATGTTTAGACAACATTGAACTGCTCTTCTGCATGTCTTAGTGTTCTATTGCTATACATAGACACCATGACCACGGCAACTCTTATAAAGGAAAACATTTAATTGGGACTGGCTTACAGGTCAGAGATTTAGTCCCTTATTGTCATGGTGGGAAGCACAGCAATGCACAGGCAGACATGGTGCTGTAGAAGGAGCCAAGAGTTCTACTTCTGAGTTGGCAGGCTACAGGCAAAAGTCAACTAAAACATGGCTTGCACTGGACATCCAGGGGAGCTATGAACCAGCACAAAATAACTGACACTGGATATACGGGGACCCCCAAAGCAAACAGTGATGTAATCTGTTATACAGGTATTTTGCAGAGAGCCACTTGTGTGGTTCTGTATAAATGTAGCCTTGAGGTCAGAGGCTTGAGCCTCTGCATCAGACGGACAGCCTACTGTGTGTGTGCCTGCCTGTGTGTGACCCACGTGTGCCTGTCTGTGTGTGACCCACGTGTGCCTGTGCCTGCCTGTGTGTGACCCGCGTGTGCCTGTCTGTGTGTGACCCACGTGTGCCTGTGCC